CCATGATACAAATATTACTGTTACTGCAGAATTAGAAGATTTACACTGTGGCCAAACTCCTTCATATTTAAGACAAATATGAATCATATTGTGATCAATTAAATGAAATATTTTTAAAGTATGCAAAATTAAGCATCTACTTAAGCCTCCTTTTCCCAATCCCCACACTACCACTCCCCCCTAAAATCTATAACCAGAAGACAAAGAAACAAAATTACCTGACTTATCTTCTACAATCATGAACACTCCTGACTTAGTTCAGGGAGGGGGGGAAAAAAAAACCCTACCTTTCCTTGTTACCACTTCTCATGAGAAAAGTTCTCATAAAAAGAAAACTGTTCTATCAATTGTAACAAGTGGAATTCATATTCCCGTCCCTGTAAAGACAAATCTGTGATTGTTGAAACTTACCAGGCTGGAAACACACGACTTCAGGCAGCTGTTTAAAACTGTACACTGCACCACAGAAATCCATATGCAGCCAAGAGTCACAAAATTGACAAATTTCAGGAAAAGCCAGTGAATGTTCTTCATCACTTCACCAGTAGAGAATTTTTAGATGGCTGGTCTTCTGATTTTCTCCATTTTGCTATATGAATTCTTTAGGCTTCATCACTTCAATTGAAAGAATGGCTAGTGGATTTTTTGTTGTTGTTGTTTTACAACGATCGAGTATCTTTGCCTTTTTGAAATAATATTTCGACCTTATAGTTGAGACCTTTGAATCCTAGATAGCTTGTAACAATCACATAACAGTTATTTCATGACTTAGCTTCCTTTTACTCCTATAATGAAAGTCACTCACCAACTAAAAGGTTAGACCTTAGCGCTTCTCATGGAAAGTAAACAAAGCAGAAAACGTAAATTGCGTGTTGGCAAGCTTGTGACACTTGCACAGTCTGAAAGTAGAAGGCTCCCATGGATCATCTACCACTTTACTTCTCTGAGGTTGGTTCAGTTATGCAGGAAATTGGGTTTTGGCCACCTCAGCTTTAGCAAACAGTAACACTATTTTAATAATTATTTTTTTAAAAAAATAGAAGCATCTAAGCCAAGTATTGCAAGAGAAAGGGAAAACAGAACACCTCGAAACCAAATACTTGTTTTAAAATTAAAGAGCAAACAAAGTTGAAATTAATAGACGAATTCTCTGAGGGTGAGTTATAGACAAGGAAGTTTGTTAGAACACTTGCAGAACTTTACTACATATTAACTAAAACACTCTTATCAGGCCTATTGAGACAGAAACCAGCCACCAGAGAGACCTCAGATATGTACAAGTGTAGCTGCCCTGAAGAGGAAGTAATATGCAGAATTTCAGTTAGCCTGGCATCAAGATAAAGTTAAGTCAAATTCTAAAACAAAGAATTTGACATCTACAAGGTGCAGAAGGGATCCTGGATGGCTATTTTTTTAGATTGTGGAGTGGGAATTCTTCAAGA